GATGTGGGACCTCCAAACTGATGAATACACTGACGTCATTAGGCAATCATATGAACATGTTAAAGGATCAAAAGAGTAAGAGAGAGAGGGAGAGAGAAGGGGAACAGATTTTGAAAATACTCCTACGAAATTCAACAATCTTGACTTGAATAAGTTTTTGTAGGTACATGTGTACATGTACATGTAGTACTAGTAATTTAATTATTGGTAATATATACATGTTCATGTGAATTGACATGTATGTAAAGAAGTCTTGTGACATATATGTACATGTACATGTATAAGGCATGTACATGAACATGTACATACAGTACCTTATATTATTGTTAGTATACATGTAAATGAACATGTACATATACATGTATGTGCAATAATTCATGTGCATGTACATGTAATCCTTTTATTCCTTTCAGGTCATTTCCAATACTGGAGGTTCATTTTCCGAAATATTCAACTCGTGAAATTCATCGCAACTACACTGACTGTGTGAGGTGGTTTGGTCGACTAGCGTTTTCTAAAAGTTGTGAGAATAATTTAATACTTTGGAGACCTCCACAACCTGACGATAAGCCACAACAGAAATCCTTTCAAGTTTTACAAAAGTAAGAGAGAGAGAAAGAGGAAGAGAGCCAAGAGAGGGAATCAGGGAAAGGGTTTATATAGAACTGATAAAGGAGGTGTTTACCGTATTTGCCTGATTAGAAGCCCGGGAGTCTATTCATTAACAAGAGGAAAAAATTTTGTGAAAAGAAAAAAAAGTTGCCAAAAGATGGAATCGAACCCATGTCCCCTAGCTCATTAGACAAGCTATTTAGAACAATCTTAAAGTTGAGGCTATCTAAATTGGCTATAATATGCGGATCTATAGTGAGAATATTTTAAGAATGGGTGTTTATTTAAGCTCGGCTTCTAATCAGGCAAATACGGTATCTGTTTTAAACAGAATAATAGTTATGATAAGTTGTTAAAATATTAACCACTTGGCATTTGACTCATGTTTTTTGGTGATCATGCAATTATGCCCACCAAAATCCACTTGCTGCTGTTGGTTGGGTGGCTTGATGGGATCATGGGATCATGTGATCATATGAAATGTGTTCTTCATTATTAGGTTTGAGGTTCCAAACTGTGAGATATGGTATATTCGCTTTGCAATGGACAGGAAAATGAAAGTAAATAAATCCACAATAAAAAGGAATATGAACAAACTCAAAATGATTAAAATAATGAAGTAATGAAAAAGCATTGCCAACACTTACAAAGGTTACAACACAAATCGTTAAAAAAAAGCAAATAACGTAAGGTTTTTAATCAATGATTCCTGCAACAAAAGCGCTCAAAGTGAAGACAAAAACTGTAACAGGGATTGGTTTGGTAAGGTACATGTATGAAGATTTTTTGGCTTTATTTTGAGTCACTCCAGTTACTAATTCTACATGCACTTCAAGATTAACTCGACCAGATTCCAGTTCTGCCCGGCTGTAAAATTGGTTTCTGATTTGTTGCATATGATATTCTGTAGCTGTTTGCATATACTTGGCATATGGTATAGACTGATTTTTTAGCTGCCTATAGTGGTTTTTTATCACATAGGCACGATACATCATTTCACCGATCCCCAGAAATACAACATTAATGATATATTTTTCATTTGATATCCCAGTGGATAAAGCAGTGACAAACATGAAAAGAACATGGACCAGCATAATACCATTGAAACCCATGCTTGTGATAATGAAATACACAAGGATTTTCTTCTCTTTTTTGTTATGTGGTAGCACATATTCATCGTAGGACAAGAAAGTTTGAAGAATTGAATGGACCAAGAGCGTCACAAATGGTAGTGATATTATTACTTTAAAATTCCAATCGAGACTTGAAGCATAAGTATAATAAAGGTAATTGAACATCCAAACTTCATATGATATGATACTGAGTAGAGAGAGAATCTTGTGGAAATCTGCCTTAAAGGCTGATTGGTCCAATCTTTTTCCAATGATATCCAAAACCAGTGACCTACTGATCAATGTCACTAGTATCCAAATGACAACACTAGCTAAATCTTTAGATTTAATCTCCTTGTGGTAGATATACTCAAGGATATCATCTTGTGGCTCATGTAGGATTATATTCAGTTCAGGGAGAATAGTTACTATCATCCTATAGATGACAAGGAGGAAGAAAAGGGCAAGAAGAACTACTCTTGTTGTTATCGTGATGGCTTCCATGATGCTTGTGATCGTTTTGGAATGATGTAGGAGTATAATCAAGAGTAGATTATCTACTCTTGTTATAATTCAATTATAAAACGTAGTAGATTACTCATTACACTGTATTAATCTGCATAGTTGGGAAATTTGTGAGTACATTGTTGCACTATAGTTAGCAACTTAAAAGGCACTGTGCATGCAAAAAAACTACATGAAAATAAGCTACATGGAACAGTATATTTACAGGTATTTAATAGGCTCTTTATGACTACAGCTTTTTAGCACTGGAGACTAAAGCTTCACTAATCTTTCAAATCTTATCAAGATTACAGGAGTATTAAGGCTATCAGATAGGGTGGGTCATACTCTACTGTAATTACGTTGAATGATGAGCATTTATTGATCATTGATTTTGCTTTTGCCTTGTGCTTTATGCTGTTAAAAGGCATTCACTTTTCCAGTATAAACAGTAAATTGTGTAAAAAACAAAAAGTTTCTATTTTAAAAAAGTGTGTGCATGTAAGATTCAATAGTCAAATGTTTCCTGCAACAAAAGCACTAAAAGTAGCGACAGCAAAAGTAGCAACAATCGGCACGGTTAAGTATGAAGTTTCTTTTTCTCTTTTTTGAGTCACTAATTTTACATCAAGATTAACATATCTTGATTCCAATTTTGCCGGAGTATGAACGTTGTTTCTCATTTCTTGCATATGATGTTCCAAAGCTGTTTTCATGTACATCTTGTATGGTATGTATTGATTTATTAGTTGCTCAAAGTGGTTCTTCATCACATACGCACGATTCATCATTTCGCCAAGCCCAAGAAATGCAGCAATAATGATGCATACAAGATTATTTTCTTTTGATATTCCAGTGGATAAAGCAATGACAAACATGCATAAAATATGGACTATCATAATGCCATTGAAGCCAAGGCTTGTGACAATGAAATAGACAAGATCCCTGGTCCTTCTTTGATTTTTTGGTAGCACATATTCATCATAAGACAGGAATATCTGTAAAACCGAGTGAACCAAAAGAGTCACCAATGGTAGGAATATCATAATTGTAAAACTCCAATCAAAATTTGTAACGTAAGTGTTGTAAATGTAGTCAAACATCCAAATCTCATATGATATTATACTGAGTAGAGAAAGAATCTTGTGAAAGCCTTTAAAAGCTGATCGGCTCAATCCTTGTCTAATGATATCCCGAACAAGCGACACACTAATGAATGTCACCAATATCCAAATAACAACAAAAGCTACATCTGAAGATTTTATTTCTCCATGGCACGGAAAGAACTTGAAAACTATCTCTTGTGGTTCGCAGACAGTTTTATCGAACTCAGAATGTATAGTTACGACAGTCCTGAAAATAATTAGACACAACAGAAAATTTAGAACAGCCCCTGTCACCATTGCTTTCATATCTACAGTAAACAAAACAGAAGTTAGGGTGGGGCTAAATTACATTATCGTGAGAAGATTGAAAAACATTATGTACATTGTATCAATACTGTTGAGATGGACAGTGATTTGTATATGTACATGTACATCTACAGTGTAAAGTTAGCAGTGATTAATTTCCATTATTTTTTAAATTTAGTACCTAGCCCTTGGTAATCAGATTGGTGAGATACACATATGGGACACTACACAGAATGATGTCATCAAGGGACGTCCATCAGTGATACTCTCATCAGCTAAATGCTTCACTGCAGTGAGACAAGTCACTTTCAGCAATGACAGCAAGTAAACCAACACACACACACACACACAGTCACAGACACACACACATACACACACACACACACATACTGATTGCAAGTAAACTACATTGTAACATACATACATATACTGATTACCACTGGATGGACTATAGTAAATACCATATAGCTCCAAATTTTCGTCAGTCAAAAATTTTGTCAAATTCATCAAAAAATTTCTCTACGTAACTAGTATGCAGATTTATGATAAAAATGACAATATTTTTATTGATTTAAAAATGATTTTGATAAAATTTTTGACTGATGAAAATTTGGAGCTATGCGTTAGCCCACACATCCACTCATCAGCATTCTGTATACCAGTACTAACATTTTGGGAATACAGAGTCAGAAATAACAGTCAGACATTTTCTGACCATTTTGCTCAATTGTCCGACCAAATTCTGTGTCATCGCATAGCGGGAAATTTTGAAGGGAGTTGAATTTGACAAATTGGTAATGGGCAAATTTTAATTTGGCAAATTTTTTGGCCACATGCCATTGAGCATGCGCATAATGGCTCAAAATGGTGGATTTAATTTTGGCAAATGGCTATCAAAATGCCAGATTTGCCAAATTTAATTCTCTCCAAAATTTCCCATTATACGGTATCCTATCATTTTGTCCAAACAACATAATTTTTTAAAGATGGTAAATACATTTAAATTATTAAAAGCAATTTAACAAATGACCATAATCATATTCCCAAAAGTACATATGCTGTGTATCAACTTTGAGCTAATTCCAATTAAATTTTAATTTTTAATGAATTTTCAAAGTTGCTAAAATGTATTCTATATTTGTTATAGTCATAAGGCATGCTGCTTAGTTCACTTGGCATAAGGACATGTACATCTATTTGTATCAGCTATTTTTTTCACAATTTGGTCACAGACCAAAGGCCCTTGGTCATTGAAGCAATTTAATTTACAAATTCAACTTAATTGGAATTCAATCAAAGTTTTTACGCAACATAAGAACATGTGTATGTATCAGAAAAAAAATTATAAAAATGAAGAATTTTCTCCTTGTGGTTTTTGTCAAAATACTCTTTGCTGTAAGAGTCTTCTTCCCAATTTTTTGAACATTGTTTGAATGTACACTGTAATTTCAGGCTCTGGGAATCTTATTGTTTTTTTTAAATTTTACTGTATAGGACAATCATTGGTGTTTGTGATAATGGAACTGTATGGAGGTGGGATGCTAAATCATAATAAAGAACCAACAATACAGTCACACACACACAAGCTTGTTGTAATACACGTACATCAGTATGTATACATGTACTACTCCATATAACTAACATTTTACAGTGCAGTATTAGTTCCAGTATTCATTGCCATAAATAATTACAGTACAGTTTTTCTTAGTTCCAGTACCAAGGTGCTGGAACAAAATTAACACACATTTATTGTGACAAGTATTCAAGTAACAGGATACTGCCTGCATTCCTCATAATGATCCTTTGTAATAGAGAGGAACGTACCTTCTTCCCCACAGTATTGGCATTGAAATGGACGTTGATCGCATTCTCTATCTTCATGATCCTCAAGATATCTACGTTGCTTTCTCTCTTGACATTCCTCATTTCGACACTCTACTTCTTCATATTGACATTCTCCTTCTCTCTTCTCTTTATTAAGATGAGTAGACATATTCTGTTCCTCAATTCCTGCAAATTGACAAAAAAATAAAACAATGCTTTAACTATAAAACCATAACTAACGGGTGCCTTCCTCGATTTCTAATGAATGTTTCTAATTCAAAACATATAATATCTAATTAACACAAAATTATTATACCATCACTTACAGTACTAAATACAATAGTGCCATCAACAGTAATTTCAACTACATCCTTAGATATAAAAAGATCTTCATTCTCCATAACATAATCCTTCATCTCATCCACTAGCCAATCTGGTATGAAGCAAACAAATGTCAGTCGACTACTATGCACAGTCTTCAAGTGAATGTGCATATGATATCCTTGACTGCTGAAGACATCTATGAGAAATTCCTTAAAATCCTGAAGTGTTGTTTTATCAATAGGCCACAATACTTCAAATATCATCTACATAAATCATGAAAAGCAGTTGTTGCAATAAAATACAAGTCTTACCATTTTACTATTCTTTTTGTTACAATTTTCAATAGCAATTGTTGCAAATCCCTTTGCTAAAATCTTCTTGTATATTTCTTCCTGTTTCTCTTCAAACAGATTTAGCTGCTTTGTAATATCAGCCAATCCAAGTTGTTGTGTTAAAATGGTTAGTATGTTGAAATTCCATGGAGAGCAGTGATCTCGAATAATGTACATTAGTCCAAAATAATCACCTATTTGTAAGTTATCGATTTCATCTCTATTTAAACGCCAGTGATAAATCATTTTGGTTTTTAGCTTATCCAGTGTCTCCCTTTTTTCACAAACCCGATTAACAAATTTTTCCAAAATTTCTTCAAATTCAGTGGTCATTTGAATATACTCATTTTTTAATTGACGAGGAACTAAAAAATAAAATAAATTTAATAAGTTAGATTAGGTCCAATCTTACGACAGATGCTTTGACCAGTATCCTGTCCTTCTAAAATTAAAATTAAAATGAAATAGGTTTACTGTATATATCAGTTTATTTTCATGGTGAAATACCGTATATGCTATATATATATTTGTGGGTATAAAATTTCGTTATTTGGCTGCATTTTTGTATTCGAGAATAAAAATTTCGCAATTTTAATTTAATTACCAATTTACCACACCTACCAAACAATCAGCATGCCATTTTGCTAATTTTTCCAAAACGCATAATTAGTTTTGTGAATCCACCTGCATTTCTAAGATTCACCAATAGCTTGCAAACTGCACAGTGGCAGATTTTTTGTGATAAAATTATTACATGGAGCTAAAAGTCTAAAACATGAAATTTGCAAAATATTTCACCTCAAAAATAAACTGTTATACTGTCAGTATTAGAAGATTACCTTCTCTGCCTCTAATTTTATCTGCCAAGGCTTGCTCTCCAATTCTTTCTAATATCTCAGCTAATCTGTTCCATGACGGCTCTCCCTCACTATTCACATTATCCTGTTTTCTCAGCCAGCAAGAAAGACACTCTATGAAACGATCCTCAACACTATTTGCTTTGTTAACTTCTATTTTATCAAGTGTATTCTTGTAGAGACCAGCTTGGAATCCAAATTGTTTCCATTTGCTGGTAGAAAACTGTCCCTGTTCTAGCTGAGTCAAGATGTCTTGCAAGTCAGTGATACCTAGTAAAAGGAGCTGAAACAAGTTAAGCTAAACAAAAGAAAATAACCGAGAGAAGAGGTATCACCACCAACAGCCATCAAAAACGTTACACACCCCACTGCCCACTGATCTGATTTTAAAATCAGATCAGTGGGGTGTATCACTAAAATTTTAGTGATGGGTACGTGTACGTGTACGATTAGATCTAAGTATCCGGATTCCACTTGATCTATCCGGAAATGAACGGAAATTGAAGATGAGGAGAAGGAGGAGGAGTTGAGACTCTAACACTCAAAATGAGTCCAATGCACATGATATATGATGATACCCCGTTACAGCAGGAGGGGGTGAAGGTCAGTAAGTGGAAGAGCGAGTGGAACTCGAGCCAACTACAAAGGTAACTTGTATATATACATGTATTTCTAATTAATGCTCATCTCTTGTAACCAGTGGTAGGGGTGTACTGCTGGAGGGTGTGTTTCATAAGAAGAGACGACACATTATACAAGACACTAGCAATAAGAAGGTGAACATTAAGTATAGAGGGGATACCAGGAGTAATTTTCACCAAAATTGTATCTAATATACTTGTTGTTGTTGTTGTTGTTTACATTATTGTTGTTGTTTTTAGTGTTGTTTTTGTGTCTTCCATATTGAATTTGATTGTGCTTGCTAGAGAAAGTTTGATGCTGAAGGCAAAGAAATTGAACCGAACTTTGGGCAAACAGCAAAAGTAAAAACTAGCTACCTCAACTCATCATACAGTAAGAACTGGAATTCATAATGTACATACATATAGTGACCAGCCTGTCTGGAGGTGTGTGTGTGTAAGTAATGTAATACCTGAGGACTGAGATATCTGCTTGAGCTGAAGCTGAGGGAGACTAGTCAGGTATTACATTACTGATAGTACTATAACTATTATTTGTTGTTACTATAGAAACTGTTGCCAAGGGAACACCCGACACATTGAGTTATGCCGAAGTGTGTGAAAGAGTTTGTTCTGATCTGGTTGGGTTTGAGACAGGCAGTCACTCTCAGTCGATTTGTTTTTGGGGAGAGAATGAGAGCTATGATCATGTGGAGTGTAGCCCAGGACAAAGAATTAGACTGAAGACAAGAAGAGACTCTCTACTGATAGGTGAGGGAGGAAGGAGTTTATGCTGATGGACATGTACATGTAGCATATTGTATTAATAACTAGCTGTTCACCAGATCTCTTGATATTTTTCTTTGTTCCCTTTTACATACATAATGTATGTACACGTACATGTATATGCACACACACACCCTCTTCTCTTCCTTTGTTCTATTTCTTTTATACAACACATATAAACATGTACATGTACATGCATATACATGTATTTATACGCATGTACATGTAATTCTCATCTCTTCTCTCCCTAGAGTCATTCACAAAGCTGGATAGTGATCAGCGAGCTCACTCATCAAACTACACTGGAGGAGAGAAGACAGGACAGAGCTGGACTGATAAGGTACTCGGACACAAATCAACTGATGAACCCAGCCAGGGAACAGGAGGAGGAGGAGGAAAATGAGAGTATGTGAGTTTTTATAACGACAAATAATAATTTGAACAAGAAATTAGGATTTTTCGACTAGCAAAAAGTTAGAGCTGCATAAAATATTCATCCACTCATTAGTATTTTGTATTGAGCGTTCAAGAATCATCATATAGTATTTTATTATTGTTTTTTACTGTGTAGGACTATCATTGGTGTTTGTGATAATGGAACTGTATGGAGGTGGGATGCTAAATCATAAAGAACCAATAATACACTCAACACACAAACTTATTGTAATACACTGTACATCAGTATACTGTGTATACACCATTATTTTTCTAACAAACAATAATACATTTTAATTATCATTCACTGATGCTAAAAGTATAGTGTCATGACTTGAACTAAAATTGCAAAATAAAAAGTTTTTTGGTTTCTTGTGTACTTTATACTGTATAGCACAAAATTTTTGAGGGTTGTAAATTTTGCAAATTTGCCTAAAAATCTATTGAGTGGATTTAATTTTCACGAATTTATACCATCTGCCATCTTGTGCCCAATTTATTTGATTTTCGCAAAAGTAATTTTCACGAATCTTTCAAAAATTGCAAATCCATGAAATTTACAGCCCCAAAAATTTTGCACTACACAGTACATGTACATGGAGCCTGAGCGATAGCGGAGAGGTGTTATTAGCAGTGGGCGGAGTCAAAGGAATAATTAGAATATTAGGGTAACATTATTATGATACGTTTAAATTATATTTTTATTTTATTTTTAGTACAGATA